CTCCTTCTCAAATAAATAAGTAAAATCTTAAAAAAGAGAGAATGAGATAGTTATTTATGTATTAGTAGGGAAGGATGTCTTTGGAAAAAATCAAGTTGCAAAATCAAATGCATAGCATGATTCCGTTTTTGTAAAAATATTTTAAAAATTCTTCCCAGAAGTAATATGAGCAATGGATATGGACAGGCAGTTCATGGAAAAGAAATGGAAAATGGCCAGCAATTATATACAAAGAGGCTAAAGCATGATGGTAGTCATGTAAATACAATTGAACACACCAGTGGTGGGCTCTTCTGCTCATCAGGTCATCACTCTTTAAAAGTTTTTCCCATATCCATGGTAGTGAGTAGGGAAGCGGATTCTCTCATACACCACTGAAGAAATTAAATTCAAAACCTTTCCAGAAAGTATTTGTCAGTATTTATTAAAAATGTTTGAATGCGTATACCTTCCAATACAACAATTTTATTTCCAGAAAATTATCTGACAGAAATAAAAGGTAATTGTTTCCTAATATCCTACCATCCTGTCTTCCTCAGTTACAGAGCTTGAGCTGGGCACATGGCCCCAGGAATAATGGCTACATTTCCCATCGTTCTTGTCGTGAGCTGCGGCCATGCACTCCAGTTCTAGGCAATAGTGTATATGCAGAAGCAGCAACTTCTAGGAGGTTTGCTCAAAGGCAGGAGTAAAACTTCTGGGGCTCTGTTTTTTTTCTTCTCTCCAGAATGCTGATTGCTGGCTAGAGTTCTGGTAACAAGCATGAACACTGAGGTATCCTAGAGTTCTGGTAACAAGCATGGACATTGAGGTATCCTCATCCTCTGAATGAGGTCAGAGCCAGCAAGTTGAGAAGGAGACTGGGCCCAGGGCTCCAGGAGGATCACACCAGCCTTGACCGGATCACTGCCAGGCTTCTTGAACATAAGAGAGAAACTTAAATATCCATCTTGGTTCACTCACAATATTTGAGGTTTTATTTTACTCTCCAAGCTCAATCCTCACTAATTCAAATGCACAGAGGTAGATATCTACAAAGGTAATTACTGAAGTGTTGTTTAGAATACTAAGAAATAATCTGCTGATAAGGCAATGGTTGAATGTATTTTATGGTCCACTTGATTATTCATTCGCTCACCAGATATTTTTGAACATCTACCCTATGTCTTTAAAAAAATTTTTTTTATTGGAGTTCAATTTGCCAACATATAGCATAACACCCAGTGCTCATCCCACCAAGTGCCCCCCTCAGTGCCCATCACCCAGTTACCCCAACCCCCCGCCCACTTCCCCTTCCACTACCCCTTGTTCATTTCCCAGAGTTTGGTGTCTCTCATGTTTTGTCACCCTCACTGACATTTACACTCATTTTCTTTCCTTTCCCTTTATTCCCTTTCACTAATTTTTATATTCCCCAAATGAATGAGACCATATAATGTTTGTCCTTTTCCGATTGACTTACTTCACTCAGCATAATACCCTCCAGGCCCCTCCACGTTGAAGCAAATGGTGCGTATTTGTCGTTTCTAATGGCTGAGTAATATTCCATTGTATACCTAGACCACATCTTTATCCATTCGTCTTTTGATGGACACCGAGGCTCCTTTCACAGTTTGGCTATTGTGGACACTGCTGCTATGAACATCGGGGTGCAGGTGTCCCGGCGTTTCACTGCATCTGTATCTTTGGGGTAAATCCCCAGCAGTGCAATTGCTGGGTCGTAGGGCAGGTCTATTTTTAACTCTTTGACATCTACCCTATGTCTGACAGAATTCTAGTCACTGGGCTCATAGCAATGGATAAAAGAGACAAAACTATCGCTTTATAATTTGTGTTCTAGTGAAGGAACATGCAAAGTATGGGATACTATGGAGCTATTTAAAATGAAAAGCTATTGTATGTGTGCTCCTGTTCCCAATATATCATTTGGTTTTAAAAATTAGAGGTATGTTGTGTTAACTATATTTTCTAATGTTCTGCTTTTGTGGTTCTGGCATCTGAGGTCTTGCTGATCCTGGAGACACTGCTCCTCCCAGGGCTAGCTAATTCCTAGCAATTACACCTTCCATATGCAAACCAACTAGTCCAGAGCCTCTACTGCCCACTGCCTCCTTGATGGAGCTCACAAATGAGCCACTAGCTCCCTGTCCTTTTGGCCCCAAGGCCAGGGACCAGGCATCTAGGGCCAGTCCCTACATCTCTAATTCAAACTAGACAATTCTACAGGATGCCTGGGTGGTTCAGTGGTTGAGCCTCTGCCTTTGGCTCAGGTGGTGATCCTGGGACCCCGGGATCAAGTCCTGCATCAGGCTCCCCTCAGGGCACCTGCTTCTCCCTCTGCCTATGTCTCTGCCTCTCTTTCTGTGTCTCTCATGAATAAATAAATGAAATCTTTAAAAAAAAAAAACCCACACACAACAAACTAGCCTAGCCTGCTTATCTTGCCTGCCCATTTCTTCCCACAAAAACCACCATAAAGGCTCCTTCCCATTCCTTTCCTTTCCTCCTTCTGCCTTCCTTGTGTAGCCCTGGGTGGTGCAGCATCCTCCCCTGTGTGTGAACTGGGAGAAACAAACTAGCTTTTCTTTTCTTTCTTTATTTTTTCTTAAGATTTTATTTATTTATTTATTTGAGAGAGAGCAGGGGGAGGAGCAGAGGGACGAGCAGACTCATGAGCTGAGCCCAATGTGGGGCTTGATCCTAAGGCCTCGAGATTATGACCTGAGTCGAAATCAAGAGTCAGACTCTCAACCACCCAGGAGCCCTGCAACTATCTTTTCAATGGTGAGTTTCTCATCTGTTAGCCTCCCCATACCTGCACAATGACAAAACCTACACTTAAAAACACATGTATAGTGTGATCTCACTTTATCTTTAAAAATCGATAAAAGCACGTGTGTTTGCATATGTTTCAAAAAAATAAAGGAAAATTCATGAAAAGATACACAAAACTCTAACAGTAATCACATCAAGGAGGTAAGAGGGCACATTCCAGCTCCTGGAGGATGGGAGGCAAAGGACCGTTCATTTTACTTTAGGCATTTCAATATTAATCAAATTTTACAAGGAGCATATGTTACTTTTTGTAAGAAAAATATGTAGGTATATTTTTCATTTCATTAGTCTAACCCCTTCTTTCTCTTGTCACACCTGAACTCTGCACATCTGGAGCTTCTTCCTCTTCTTTTTTTTTTTTTTTTTTTTTTTTTAAAGATTTTACTTGCCTATTTGAGAGAGAGTGCATGAGAGAGCGCAAGAGCTGAGGGGAGGGGCCGAGGGAGAGGGAGAAGCAGACTCCCCACTGAGCAGGGAGCCCAATGTGGGGCTTGATCCTAGGACCCTGGGTTCATGACCTGACCTGAAGGCAGATGCTTAACCCACGGAGCCACCCAGGCGCCCCCTCCTGGAGCTTCTTAAAGTGGTGCCAGGCCTGGGCCACTGTCCCCTGGGCCATGACATCGCCCGATGGCAGCTCCCCCAACGCTGCGTCATACCCTCTAGAATTATAATTATACCTTCTGTAAATCTGTTGAAGTCTAGTCTGCTGAAGGTTCCTCTCTATATCTTTGACATTGTCAAATTAGTGCTTTTTTATGACTTGTAATAATGAGATCACCAGGAGGAGAAGAACAGGCATCATGGAAGCTTGGAGATCCCGTGAGGGAGGGTGTCTCTGAGTAAGTGCTGAGAATCCAGGCTCTCGTCACACATCTCTGAGTGTACCTAGATATGCAATGGCAGCCACAGCCAAGGAGGGTGGAGAGGGCTAGGTCCCGCCCTCCGTGGAGATGGAGGCAGGTCAGACCCCAGGAAAACAGTGAATCTTCTCTTACTGGGGCCACAGGGGAAGTCAGTCCAGCAGACTGGGGGCAAAGAGAATATGTGGAGCGTGTCTGACTAGCAAATGGCACACAGTGACTTAGTCTGTTGGGGGCTTAAGCGACAAACATCTGTTTCTCACAGTTCCGAAGGCTGGGAAGTCCAAGGGTCAGGTCAGGCACTGGCAGATTCAGTGTCTGGTGAGGACCCTCCTCCTGGTTCATGGATGGCTGTCTTCCAGCTGTGACTCATACAGTGGAGGCAGGAGGACTCTCTCTCTCTCTCTTTAAAGGTTTTATTTGTAAGTAATCTCTACCCCCAATGTGGGGCTCAAACTTACAACTCTGAGATCAAGGGTGGCATGCTCTACTGACTGAGCCAGCCATACGTCCCTCTGGGGTCTCTTTTATGAAGGGCACTAATCCCATTCGTGAGGGCTCCATACTTGTGACCTAATCATCCCCCAAGGCCCCAACGCCAAATACCATCCCACTAGCTGTTAGGTTTCAACAGATGAATGTTGGGGTGACACATTCATTCCGTAGCGCACAGTAGGCAAGCAGTTGGGAGGGATGGGGAGGGGCTTCCATTACAGCCAACATGCCATCGGATCGATCGTGAGGCACAGCAGTGGGCGTCAGGGCAGATGGCTTCAGGAGATCCAGTCTGGCGTCAGGCCGACAATGAGGGAAGTCTGCCCAAGTTCAGGGGAAGGCAACCGCGCCCAGGTAGGCATTAGGTATTCACCAGTGTCCGTGGAGCACAGCAGGCCGGGCCTCCCCGTGGGGAACAGCTGCACCACAGGATCCTCCACGGTGAGTGCTCCCCACTGCGGCTCAGAGCACAGGCCGGATTCTGTGAAATGACAGCTGCCTCTCACCAGCTGTGCCACCTTCGGCCAGCTCCTTAAGCTCTCTGGGTCTCATCAGTCTTGCCTCTAGAATAAAAACAATAAAGCCCAGCTCATGGGGTTGTTGAGTATTCATGAAACTAAGGCTCTGTAAGAGCAAACACTCGGTCACACTGGGGAAGCTCACTTGCAGGTGGCCCAAGTGGCTGTGGAAATGGAAACCGGCCTCACATCCTGGCTCGGAGACCTTTGGAGATTTTTTTTTTATAGATTTTATTTATTTATTTATTTATTTATTTATTTATTTATTTATTTATTTATTTATTTATAGAGAGGCAGAGGGAGAAGCAGGCTCCATGCAGGGAGCCCGATGTGGGACTTGATCCCGAGACTCCAGGACCATGCCCTGGGCCGAAGGTAAGCACTAAACCACTGAGCCATCCTGGGATCCCCACCTTTGGAGATCTGAATGACTCCACCTACCTTGGAAGATGAGGGCAGTCTGCAGATTTGAGTTAGAATATCGCAAAGAGGGGGGAAAGGGTACCTGAAACTCTTTGAAACTGATCATTTTAACCTGCCTGTCTATGAGGAGGGAGAGGGAGACACTCTCTATGGCTCCCAGGTCCTTTCTACCTTGACCTGTTTCTGTCCCGTGCTGAAGAAAATGCTGAGGGGGCCTTTTGCAGGTGAATAGTGGATGAGTAATAGTGCTGTGTTTATCTGGCCCCTCTGATCTCAGGCCTTCGAAGAATGTTAGACAAATACCTTGCAGCAGATAAGGGTTTTCTCTATCTTCTAGAAGGGAAGTTGGAGGCTCAGTCAACAGACAGTGATGGAACCAAGAATATAATCTAGATCAAGCACTTCAGAGCCGAGAAGGGATGTCACAGAGGCATTGTGGTTTTCAAACTTGAGTATGCATAAAAAGATCACATGAGAAAATGTCTCCGTATACTCCATCCTGGACCCTACTCTGAGAGATTCTGATTCAGAAAATCTGGATGTGGGCTCTGGATTTTTGAATTTCAAAGCAGGCTTTTAGGTGGTACATTTATCCCATTTTGAGAAATGCGAGTCTCGTGAAGAGTCAGAAGGAAGTGTGGCCTTCTCTGTGGGGCTTGGTCCCTGGGTGGCCAAGAGAACCTTCTCTAGGCATTTTATCCAGGGATAAGATTGATATGATTTCTATCACAAAATTTTGTCTTCTAGTGGGAAAAGGCATGGAGAGAATACAAACTCCAGTGACTTGGAGTTGGAGTTGACTTGTCACTGCCATTCAAGGCAGCATTGCATCTCCTTTTGTCCTGGATAAAGGGTGAACCATCGTGATCTTCTTTCTCCTTGGGAAGCCTTCCCTGGAGCTCAGCTCTTTGTCTGTCCTTCCTGGCTCTTTCTCCCCAGAGCCCATCAGGCCCATTCCCTCTCAAGATCAAGGACAGAAGAACCTTCCCACTTGCTGCCTGCCCTTAGAACTCTAGCCAGAGAGGGCATGTGGGGTGCACTGCAGGATCGGGGTGCATAGGGTGCTTTTGGACCAGTTTTCACTCTTGCTTAGCATACTTTTGCTCATATTTTATTTAGAATGTGCATGTAGTGGAAATGATAGTGGTCTTATGTGTGTGAGTGCATGGTGAGGTATCTGTCAGCCGTTGCTACCAGGGTTATGTTAACTTCAAGAAATGAACTGGAAAGCTTTCCTTCTTTGCCTATGAGCTGAAGCAATCATAAAGCATGGATTATTTATTAGCAATACCCACTTGAGCTGGCCTTAGTGAGTTTGTGCAAAAACAGCACAAAAAAGGAGCAATTAGAAATACTGCTTGGGGGTGGTCATCGGGACTGGCAGACAGATCATCCTGTTTCCAGATGTTTGCTGTAATGGAACAGATTGTGTCTCTACTTCCCCAGCTGGCTTGGAGGGTAACCTCCACTGACCTCACAGCTCACTTGTCAGAATTTTGCAGAACCCTCCAGGAGAAGTCCAGGCCGACTCCCTGAGCTGTCTCTTTCAAGTGCTAAGCTCTGGAACGTAGAGGAGCATGGAGGGGCCGTGAAGACCGGGCCCCCCAGTCCTATGAGTCAGAGGCAGCAGCATCTGTGGGTCTGTGCGTAGGAAGAGAAGGTTGTATTGCACAAGTGCGCTTTCACCATCGGCTTTAAAATGATGTGCACAGCTGGGAAGAAGAAGAAGAAGAAGAAGAAGAAGAAGAAGAAGAAGAAGAAGAAGAAGAAGAAGACGACTGTAAGACTCAAGGAGATTAGACTGTGGATCTAGTTTTCTTTATCTTTCCAGAAGAGGTTTCATTTGAAAGGTTTTATCACCAGCAGGGTGATAGGCTGCTGTAGTCTGTGGCTCCGTTTTGAATAGGCCTGGAAAGTCATAAAAACCTCTTCCTATTTTAGAGGTGCTCCTGCACCTGCCAGCTGGACTAGATATCATGTGCTGTGGGATGATGAAAAGGAATGGTGGAAAGCATAGGACCCTCCAGATAACCTATATTTATATGTAATACATATGTATCATGTATATTGTATATAAATTAAACATATTAACAATAATATACTCAAATTAAACTTACATCTGTTATATATGTTTATATATTCCATACTTATGTAATATCTATATATAATATGTTTATATAAAATATCTATTTGTTTATAATACACATATACATTATATGGTTATATAATATATATTTACATACTATTTATGTTTATATACAATATATATTTATAATATGAAAAATAAATGAGAAAGACAAAGTGCCGTTTCACTTAATAGATAATGTTCATTTCAATATATGGACATTTTAACTAAATGACATAAAGGTTTTTCCTTCTGAATTTCACCTCAGGGTTTATGAATTAAATGCCATTCTGACATGGTTTTAAATGACCAGATGAAGATTTAAAATCCGATTATCATGTGGCTGGAATAATAACTGACATAGAAATAATTGCTTTTTGACAGGTGGTCCCACAGTTTCGTGATTAGACCTACAAATTCAATGTCAGCAAGCTGTCCAGAGGCACCTTCCCTGGATCTTAATGAAGAATGACCTGCTTCTCTGAGATTCCACTTCCTCTGAAGCTTAGAGATGCTAATAGCAAAAGAAACTTAGAAAGAGGGCAGAAGCATAGAAAAAAAAGCAGGGAAATGTGGTAACCCAGGAAGGCAAGGGAAGAATGTTTCTCAAGGAAGAGATAAAGAACTGGATTTACTGCAGACGGTGGGCCAGGGACAGTGAGGTCCGAGAAACTGGCCATTGGGGTCAACCACATGCAGGTCATGATGGACCACAAGTGGGATGAAGTTCCAAAGTAGCCAGAAATCTCGGCATGGAAATATGACATGCAGAGGGAAGAGTGGAGAGGCCTCCCAGAGCAAGAGAATGAGAAGCCCCACAGAAGAAGCCCATCCAGAGAAAGTGGCTGAGTCACAGAGTGATGGGGCACTGGACTTTCCTGGCCCATCCATCTGTCCCAGCCCCTCACGATGACCTATGCCCCCTGATGTTCTGGAGTCCCTGGTCCCTGTCCCTGTGAGTGTGTACACATGGGAGCTGCTCTACTGAGGCTCCCCTGAGTGCACTGAGCAGACCCCAAAATCACAACTGTCTCTATTGTACTAAATCAGAGTCGCATGCAAGCAAGATGTGGTCAGAGGGTCCTGAATTAAGACAGAAGAACAGAAACAAAATGGTGAATGGGATCAATGCAGAAGGCATCAGGATTTATTTGTGGTGTGGTAACAACATAAGGACCTCTCCAGAGGTCTCATAGGAAAGGGATCAGTCTCTTCTGGACTTCTTCCTCAGCCTGATTATGGCAGGAAGTGATGGAAACCTGAGGAAAGCCTGCTTTTTGTAGTGATGATGATCAACAGTGGTTGTCTGGGGGTGGCCATGGTAGGCATCACCCTAAACCGAGAGTCCAGATGAGCTGGTACCTTGGATTCCTGAAGTGTGGGTGCTGAGCAGTATGCATTTGTGAAAGATATCCCTAGAGAGACCTTTGACTGAGGTTGGCATTCTTGGTGGTAAAATTTGCTTTTTTTTTTTTTTTCATAACAAATGTACAGAATTCAGAATTTGTTATAGTTCTGGGCACTGAGGTCAAGTAATAGCTGGATCACCCAAGAGATCAGGAAATCTCTCACACTTAACCATCTTGGGAAGGCTTTCCTGGATGTCTGCTTTAGGTCACCAAGGAAGAAATTTCTAGACCTATTCCAGGCCCATGGATGTTAAGACGTTAAGGAAATATTCATCAGAGTCTAGATGATTTTGATTAGATTTAAATGTAGACTCTTTGTTTTCATTTTGTGCTGTGTTGGCCAAGTTTTAAGATTTTTTTTGAAGCTTTTATTTATTTATTTGAGAGAGACAGAGACAGAGATAGCAAGAGACAGCAGGAATGGTGAAGAGAGGGAGAAGGAGCAGGCTTGATCCCAGGACCCTGAGGTCATGACCTGAGCCAAAGTTAGATGCTTACTGACTGAGTCACCCAGATGCCCTAGTTTTAGGCTTTTCACAATAAGATTTATTGAACAACTACTTTGTGCCAAGTTGTACCTCAATGCTGGGAATGTCGCATGAGTCAGCAGCAGTGCTGTTCTAGTGCCGAGTGGTGGCAAAGAAACTCAGCCCTTCACAATTAAAGGTGCAGGCACGCTCTGCAATAAAACCACCCAAGAATTATTCTGGCTTGCAGCCTATTAACTTTACCACTTCCTTAATACAAAGAGATTTTTATTACCAATTTACTCAGCAGGTTAGATTAATATTTGAGAGATTCACGGAGGCTGAGAACCCTTGTGAAATTTCTAGATGCCTCTTGTCAATGCCAGATCTTTTCCTAGTCATCTTGGGGCCTCTCAACTGTGACCTAAAATACTTAGCACCTTCTTCTTCTTCTTCTTCTTCTTCTTCTTCTTCTTCTTCTTCTTCTTCTTCTTCTTCTTCTTCCTCCTCTTCCTCCTCTTCCTCCTCTTCCTCCTCTTCCTCCTCCTCCTCCTCCTCCTCCTCCTTCTTCTTTTTTTGGTAGATTCAATGGGTGCGCTGGTCCTCATAGAGGATTTTCTCCTGAAGAACGAGAATGCACAAAATCCTTTAAAAAAGCCACGAAGAATCTTACTGCCGTTTGCATTTGGTTAGTTAGTTATTTTGCTACTTGCATTTCTACTGTTGAGCCCAACCTACTGCAGCCAGATTGGCTACCTGGCTGAGAGGCCCTCTGTCCTCTCCTGCCCCCTGCCTGGAGGTGCAGATACATTCTCTCTGCCAGCTGACCTGCCCTCACCCCTCCTTAGCACATTCTTAGGGCTACTGTCTCCTTTTTTTTTTTTTTAAGATTTTATTTATTTATTTGACAGAGAGAGAGAGAGAGAGAGAGAGAGAGAGAGAGAGAGAGCCAGAGAGCACAAGCCAGGGAAGCTGCAAAAGGAGCTGGAGAAGCAGGTTCCCCGCTGAGCAGGGAGCCAGATGTGGGGCTCGATCCCCTGGATTCCAGGATCGTGATCTGAGCTGAAGGCAGATGCTCAACCCCCTGAGCCCCCCAGACCCCGGCTACTCCTCCTGCAAGACTCTGCAGCCCGCTGCTCTCCTCTTGGGCTGGGGACACTCTTCAAAGGCAATTAAATGATCAGCCTTGTTCTGTCCATGCCCTGCTGCCAGGCTGGGGATCTGTGGCCTCCGGGGAGGTGGGGTGCAAACCGTCTGGGCTGAGGAGTCACCAGGCTTCACAGAGACCAGGCTCTGGGGACAGAGGAGCGCGGTCAAGTTCCGAGCCTTCTTAGCTGTGTGAACTTGGGCATAGAGCTGGCATGCAACACGTGGCCTCAGTCTCCCCATCTGTACAAAGGGACGGTCCTACCAGCCCAGGGACAGGCAGGATAGCGCGACACGTGACACACCGTGTCACTAGGTGGCAGCTCCTTCCCGTGTTCTGTCCCCTTTACCCTCCTGCTGGAGCTGGGCCGCTTGGAGGTGGCCGAGGGGCAGGTGGCAGAGAGAGAGGAGGGCAGAGAGGTCCAGAGGACTGATTCCACCTCCCCGCCCCCCCATCCAGCCAGTGGCTAGAGGTCGGAAGAGATGGACAGATGGCCAGTCTGAGGGCAGAAAGTGACACAGTCTCTGAGTTCCCACCACTGCCATCGCCTCAGGCTGGCACGGAGCTGTTCTGTGACACAGGCCCCCTGGGGCATCCGCATTTTCGGATTTGCACACGAGATGACCTCTCCAGAGAGTTGTTTTCCAAAGGTGTCCACTGAATGTCTGCCACCGCTTTTGCCCCCTCCGTCCCCAACCTGTTGGGTCATGGTGAGAACCCAAAGGATGGCTCCCTTCAAAGCCCTAAGGAAGAGGTGGGCCCGAGGGGGGCACAGAAGGGTGAATGGGCCCCACCAAAGCACTCACAGTCCTGGCAGCGATGAGGGTGTCCCAAAGCCAGCCTCTGGCATCGGTGACACTTACTGCCACTCACTGAAGGTTCACCTTGTGCATATGCTGCTCTTACAGGATGAAGGACGGAGAGGTTAATTTGTGTTTTTCACATTGCTGTTCTTGATTTTTTCCCCCTTTGCCACCATGTTTCGATGAAGGATAGTTGGAAGGAAGGCAGGCAGGGACAAGGGACACCACCCCCCACCTCCCACCCTGGCCTAAGAGGAAACCACCCTTAAAGGGATTTTATACCACCCCAGAAGGAGCCCTCTACCCTTTCCCACGTGATAGAGAGATGGCAAAAACCTGATTGGATGACAGGCATGAGGGTTAATCAGATTAAAACAGCTGGCCGACAAGCCCATAAAAAGCCCTAGACTTAGAAACTCTCAATCATAGGAAATAAACTGAGGGCTGTTGGAGGGGAGGTGGGGGGGGTCACTGGGCGATGGGATGAGCACTGGGGGTTATATGCAGCGGATGAATCACGGACCTCTACCTCTGAAACTAACAATACACTATATCTTAATTAATTGAATTTAAATAAAAAATGTTTTAATAATAATAATAATAATAATAACAATAATAAAAGAAAGTTCGGTGGCAACCCTCTCGGATCCCCTCTCCTCGGGAGCTTTGTACTATCACTCGACTCTCGCTCAATAAACTTCACTTTCACCACGACTATCTGGTCTACCTCTTTATTACTCTTCCAAGTAGCTTAACCAGGCACTGCCAGGCCCCGGAGGAGAAGAAATCTTGTAATTTTGGCTTTTTTGCTTCCTTTCTAAAAAAAATTTTTTTAATTTTTAAATTTTTAAATTTTTTTTTCATTTGTTTTTACTAAAGGTCAATTTGCTTCCTGTCGGAGATTGTAGGTGATATTTTTCGAGGGTATAGGACAGAGTTTGATCTTTGCAGGGGAAGAGGTGAAGGTGCCAGTGTGACCAGAGGTTGCAGAGGTTCCCTCATGGCTGGTTTCTGCGAGTCCTACAGGACCCATCACCCCGCGCAAGGCCCCCAGCAGAAGAGGAAAGAACTCAGGGATAGGGGAGAGAAAAAGGTTTTTCTCTACCCTCTTAGACTTTGCAATGGAGGCCTGTGAATTAAGCGGATGAAGGGCGGGTTAACAGGAGAAAAGATGTGAAATTAAAAATATATATTTTAAATGTTACATGCACAGGGCTTCACAGGAAAGAGGAAAAAGCCTCAAAGAAGTGGCTAGATGTGGGGACTTACATTCCATGTTAGCACAAGGACAGAAGTTGCAGACAGGCGACCAGACGAGGAAGGGGATCTGGGCTTCCGAGGGCTAATAAATCGTGGCAGAAAATCATGGAAGATAAAGTTTGTTTAAGCAGATGATCTTGGTGTTGGCCTCACCTGCTGTGGTAAGGGTTGTTGTCATCCTGGGACAAGAGAGGGGGATATTTATGCCCTGAGCCGGAGGAAGACGCTCAACCCCTGAGCCACCCAGACATCCCTCAATTACCTTTAACTAAAAATAATCCTAATGCCAAAGGGCATATTTCTAACCCTTTGGAGGAGCCCCGTAAACAGGCCAGAGCCCACACTCAGGGGCTGACAGTCCTTAGGGACCAGGCTGTCTTAGGCATCAGTGAACATTGGCAGTGACTGTGATGGACTTAGGTGGGAGGCCCAAACCTGGTTTTCTGGACACCACAGCTATGCCAGCCATTCCTGGGTGACCCTGGAGAGGAGAAGGAGACCCCAAACATGACTGAGATTGAGTTTCTCACCACGCAGGCAGGTTGATGGACTTCAGCATGTGGCATTTTTTTTTAATACTCATGTTTCAGAATAAAATTCATAAAACATGGGATCCCTGGGTGGCACAGCGGTTTAGCGCCTGCCTTTGGCCCAGGGCGCGATCCTGGAGACCCGGGATCCAATCCCATGTCGGGCTCCCGGTGCATGGAGCCTGCTTCTCCCTCTGCCTATGTCTCTGCCCCTCTCTCTCTCTCTCTGTGTGTGACTATCATAAATAAATAAAAATTTTAAAAAATCATAAAACATTTAATATCTCTTACCTCGTTCAAAACTTGCAATATAATCCTACGAAGGAGGCACCGTTGTGCTGCCCTTTTGCAGAGGATGTGCAGCCCTCAAGGGATAAGTCGCTCAGTTCCTAGCAGCTCTTAGCACCCCAACTGGGGGAAGGGTTGTGCTCGAGGCCCCTTAACCCCCCTCTACTTTGCATCATAATTGCTGTGGCTATTTCATTTTCAAATTTGGCTGAACCTTTACTTTAAATTGGTTTGCGAGAAATTGAATTAATCTTACAGCACCCACTGTGTAGATCCATTTGGTCACCACGGGCTGGATGGCAAAGTTGCTTGGTGAGCAGGGGAGGTTTTCCCCTACAGGTGGGCACTGGGGGCCTGTCACCCATCACACGTCTCCAGGGTCACCTGCTCTCCACCCGGAGGGGAAGAGAAATTCAGGCTCAAGTTGTATTGAGAAACTTAAAAAACAGAGAGAGAAAGAAGAAAAAAAGAAAGAAAGAAAGAAAGAGAGAGAGAAAGAAGGAAGGAAGAAAGAAGAAAGAAGAAAGAGAAGGAAGGAAGGAAGGAAGGAAGGAAGGAAGGAGAAAAGGAAAGAAGAAAGAAGAAAGAAAAGAAGAAAGAAAGAAGAGAGAGAGAAAGAGAAGGAAGGAAGGAAGGAGAAAAGGAAAGGAGAAAGAAGAAAGAAAGAAAAGAAAGAAAGAAAGAGAGAAAGAAGGAAGAAAGAAGAAAGAAGAAAGAGAAGGAAGGAAGGAAGGAAGGAAGGAAGGAAGGAAGGAAGGAAGGAAGGAAGGAAGGAAGGAAGGAAGGAGAAAAGGAAAGGAGAAAGAAGAAGAAAGAAAAAGAAAGAAGAAAGAAAGAAAGAAAGAAAGAAAGAAAGAAAGAAAGAAAGAAAGGGCGCGAGAGGCGTGGAGAGGGGACCCCGCATCTGAGAGCCTGAGCGCCCGGGGAAGTCCCGGGGGAGCCCCGCCGCGAGTGGGGCGCAGGTGAGGTCTGCAAGGCGCCCCCCGCCCCGGCGGCAGCGAAGCCCGAGGGGCCGGCCTCGACCGCGGCTGTGGAGAGGTCGGGGCTCTGTCTCCCAGGCGGGCTCCCGCGGCCGCCGTCACGCGGGGCGGTTTGCTTTGGCCCGAGAAGCGCCTCCCGGAGACAAAGCGGGTTTTCGGCCGCAGCCGCGGGGGCGCCCGCCTGCCGTTCCGCCTGCGCCCGCGCGGGGGCGCCCAGGGGCCGCGCTGGCGGCCGAGCTCCCGGCGCCGCGGGGGGAGCCCAGGCACGGAGCCGAGCGCCGGCCTCGGAGCGGAGGGCGGTGGGGCCACCTGCGCTGCGCACAGCCCTCCCATGTAAACAGGGGGTGGAAGCGTCTTCAGACGGGATGGCTGTATTTGGAAGATGCTATTTTTAAAAAAATTTTTTTTTACTTATTCAAGAGAGACCTAGGCAGAAGGAGAAGCAGGTCCCATGCAAGGAGCCCAACGCAGGACTCGATCCTGCAACCCCGGGGTCACACCCTGAGTCAAAGGCGGCACTAAACCGCTGAGCCACCCAGGCTGCCTGGAAAGTGCTACTTTAATGCAGAGGTAAAAAATAAGTAAATAAAAAATAAAAATAAAAAATAAAAAATAAAAAATAAAAATAAAATAAATAAAATGCAGGGGTCAAAGGCATTAGGGTGTGCACCTCGGCGTCGCCCTTGCCAGCTGGGCCCTCCCGCCTCCCACCGAGACTCAGGCCCACGCTTCCTTCCTGGGTGGCCTGGCTTCTGCACTAGTGCAGGGGCGCCAGGATGGCCTTCCCCTGTGTTCCCGGCCCCGCCCCGTCCCACCTCCCCTCCCCTGCTCTCCTGAATAACCTCGCTTTGCAATCTCCATCTTTTTTTTTCTTTTTTAATTTAAAGATTTTATTTATTTATTTGTGAGAGACACACAGAGAGAGGCAGAGACACAGGCAGAGGGAGAAGCAGGCTCCATGCAGGGGGCCTGATGCAGGACTCGATCCCAGAACCCGGGGTCAGGCCCCAGCTGGAAACACCTAACCGCCTGAGCCCCCCAGGTGCCCCCTTGTTGCCCAGGTCTTCCCTCCTCTTCTCAACAAACGTGGGGCTGGACTTGCCTGTAATACTGCATCAACTTCCTTCCGCCTTACTTCCTGGGATCCACCCTGAGTTAATTTCTGTCCCTTCAGCTCCACTAAAACTGGCTTTGCCCATAATCCCAAATCTAGGAGATGCTTTCACCTTTTTTCAGTTAAATCGGGTACCTACCTTCCCGATCTGGAACCTGGTCCTGTCTCCGCTCCTGCGACTTGCTTCCCTTGAGTCAGCTCGTGGGCCTGCCCCTCGTTGAGCCCACCCCCCTCTTGGCCCCACATGGCATCTGTTTTCCATAAAGCACTGTGTGTGGAGGTGCCAAGGGCCCCAGGGCAGCAGGGGGTATGGACTTGAGTCTGGGAAGCAAGGTGACTGGGGCCCTTGGTCTCTGTGTGTTTTTACTGAGTTAGAGTGAAGTTGGCCAGGATCCTGAGCATAGGGCAGGTTCCCAGGGTCAAAGGACACATAGGGGATAGAGGGAGAGAGGTTGGGATGCATGGGAAAGCCAGTCGGCACCGTGCTAGCAGTGACCAGTGTCTAGACCCAATCTCACAGGCCCACACCGGGATGGCCTGACCAGTGGCCATCCGAGGCTTAACCAGGTGGCCGATGGGGTCTGTGGCTTTGACAAGATCAGGATAGGAGAAGGCGCATTTCTGCTCCATCTGGGGTCAGCTGGGACAACTCCCCGGGGATGGGGAGTGGCCGGGGGACCCGGGGACAAGAGGTTTCCTCGCACAGTTGGGGATCGGAATGGCTGTAAGGCCGTGTTTAGGGCCAGGGTTCTTGGCCTCTGTCCCCATGGGCCTCTCCAGGATCTGCTTGGGCATTCTCGCAGTCTGGTGCTGGGGTTCCCAAGAGCCAGGAGGTGCCTATGGCCGCTTTCTTAGGGTCAGAGTTAGGAACCCAGCAGAGCAGTATTTTGCATCCACTGTATTCAACTGGTTACACAGTTGCAGGGCTCCAGTTCAAGAGTCCCCGCCTGTTGACAGGAGTAGCAAAGACTTGGGGCCCATGTTTTTAAATTGCACACCTAGGCCACTGCCTTTACCCATATTCTCACGTTCTCCTTGTTACTCTCTGCCTCCGTCCATTTAGGGTAGGGCCAAGTGGGGACGGTCAGCAGAATTGAACCCAGAAAGTTCTGACTAGGGCCTCCCACCCGCCCTTCTTTCTTCACGCCAACATCAGGACTAATGCTTTCAGCCATGGCCAAACTTGCGGGTGAAAGCTAGGCTGTCCATAGTTGGAGCCCTGCCTCTTGCTGGAGGGTGGAGAGGAGGGTAGGAAGACCAGATGGTGGAGCTCCTGGCACTCCATTTGCACACAAGAGGGATTCTCTGAGTGAAGGGAAGAGTGCCGGAGCCAGGGAGTCAGTGCTTCTGCGAAGCCCCAAGCTTGTGGCCTGCTCCGTAAGCACGGAGCCCAGTTCCTGCTATTTTTTATTTTATTTTTTATTTATTTCTTTTTAAAGATTTATTTACTTATTTATTCATGATAGACACAGAGAGAGAGAGAGAGGTGGAGACACAGGCAGAGGGAGAAGCAGGCTCCATGCAGGGAGCCCGATATGGGACTCAATCCTAGGACCCCAGGATCACACCCTGGGCCGAAGGCAGACGCTCAACCCCTGAGCCACCCAGGCGTCCCATCCTGCTATTATTCCTGTTGTTGCACGTTGATTTTTATTAGTGGAATGAACTTCAGCTTCTTATTCTTGTCTTCCATTGAGCTTCAAAAGTGGTAGAAATTAAAGGCCCAGCCAGTCCAGGCGTTTTCCTTTGAGGTTGGAGACAAGGACGTGAGATGTGGTGCCAGCCAAGGTAGACATCTGTGCCACCGAAGCCACTGATTTACCTCGTGGACGCTGCCACGAGCTATAAGAGTAACGACCGTCTCACTAGAGACCCACACAGCTGTGAGCTCGTGAGCTTGAGCGACATGTGTGACAGGCCATCTGCAAGGCGGAGGATAGCAAGTCAGTGGAGTGGCTCCTTCTGATGATGAAGGTGATGAAGGACATAAGGATACCAAGTATGGTGGCTTGGAGGCTGGCACGGTGACAGTGGCCCTGTGCCAACAACTGTTGTGGCCTTTTTACACCAAACTAGGTGCATTTCCCTCATGCAGCCTCCTTCCTTTTGCAAGCATTGAATTAATTTCCCTTCCACATGTACACGCACCCCCTCTGTCTCCCTCAGACCAAGAGCTCAGAGTGGCTTATAAAGCGCCACTTTATAAGCCACTCTGAATAACGTGAATAAGGTGGA